TTTTTTTTTTTTTTTTTTTTTCGGAGGGAACATAACTTCTTTGATATTCCCTGCTGGTTATTTAAGGAGGCTTCTCGCAGTGAGTATACAGCGTTACTCCTTCTGGCTGCCCTTGATCCTGCGAATGTCTGGTCTTCCAGCTTTATTTTCTGTCCTTCTCTTTGAGTCCTGGTAAATCCTCTTTAATTCGTAAGAGCCCTTGGCTCTCAAAAGGAAATATCTTGGTTCCCCCCCCCCCAAATGTATACAACAATAGTAGATTTTTTAAAAGCTTAGCATTTTAATGCAAATGTGGGCATGAGAGATATCTGGGTAGAGCTGGGATGAATTGTATCCAAGTCTGTGTATGCAGATGGAAGTGTTTTCCGTGTCGATGGGCGGTGTGCGTTCCGTTGTTGATCGAAGCTTACCAAAATATTTTTCCACGCTTTTGTTCCCGCGCTCGGTTTAGTCCACTGTGTCTCTGGGCCTCTTACGCATAGATTGAACAGGTGTGTGTCTTCCAAAGGCACGCAAACAGCACAGCTGGACACACAGGTGAGGGTACTTAGATTTGTTTTCACCGCCCAGAGCGCCGGGTCCCTTTAGCGTGCAGCGTTCAGGTTCGCAGTGTCTCCCGTTGGTTGAGCCTCAAACCACGCATCCGTATTAATCGTTGACATTTGTTGGAGTTTTAGACGTTCAGCAGGCCCTCCCACCCATGTCCTTGGGTGTTTCGTGAACTGTCGCCCTTCTTCAGCAGGAAGCCCAGCAGAGAGAACAAGGTGGGGGCAGGGGTGGGGGGAGTACCCTCACGAGCCGCCTCATCCCTGATTTTGTGTCCTCATCTGTGTAATGGAGACGATGATACTTTCTCAGAGAACGTGTGAGGTCTAAATGCGATACCAGACGCCAGCCACGAAGTTCTTCGCGTGTGTGGCCTGTCCCTGCCACCGCTGTTTCCACGTCTCCATCACTGGTGTCCCATTAGCTCTTCCAGCGACCCAGCTCAGCGTCGTCAGAAAACCGGTTAATGTTTGCCACCGTTGATTAGTAGTCATGGTTTCTCAGCTCCTTAAGGGTGTTTGATACAAGTCTTTAAGTGGCCGTGAACTTGCCATGAACTCCCCCAGGGACACCACGCGGGTGACGCTCTGGGCCGGTCACCTGCTGCTGGTGCCTTCCGGGGGCCCTCCAGGGGCCAGGCAGCGTGCCTGCGAGCCCCTCGCCAGATGCCAGGCAGAGAAAGATCCCGCGGCGTTAAAGCAGCTTGCTGTGTGTCGTCGCTGGCAGAAATTGAACTTCGAGCGCAAGGGTTTCTGTAATTTTTAGACCTCAGTCCCAAATTTCAGAAATGTCGTGCTCTCCTAAGATCTGTAATTTCCTGGTCCCCAAATTGAGCCTTCTAAAAATGCACGTTCTGACCCCGAGGCGTGCCCATTTGGATCCGGCCATAAGATTCAAATCCGGCTGCGAATCCAAAGCTTCCTCAGTCACCAAGAAGGCTGTGCAGACAGCATATCACATCCCCACAATTATGGTCACCTTATTTATGTTTGCTCACCCAGAGAGCGAGATGGCTTTTCAAATCCGACACACCGTGAGGTTTTAAAAAAACATGCTAAGAGATTCTTTGCTGAGCCATCGGCAGTTCCCACAGGGAAAGGACTGGGGCCTGAAGGAAGGGGACGAGGACAGAGGAAGAAGAGAGACCGGGGGCACGGACGGCTGTGCTGTGTCGTCAGGAGAAAGGGTTCCTCCCAGGAGCCTGGCCTTGGCCTCACGTCCTTGGCACCTGTGTCCCAAAGTGTGGCCTGGTCTGCCCCCTCCCTGGGGCTGAGCTCTCACAGCCACCTGGCATTTCTGTCACGTCCCCGTCTCCTCCTGCGGCCCCAGCGCCACCTGTGCCTCGCATCCTCCCACCTTCGGCCCCTCTCTCTGGCCTTCTTTCCTTTCTCTGCTGCCTGGCTCCCACTCCCCACTCCCCACTCCCTGGGCAGGCCCCTCCCCACAGCCCCTGCCCGGGACCCGCACCGCCAGCCAGCCCTCTCCTTCTTTCTTACTGGGCCGGTGCTAAGTTAGAGCCCTTCATGTCTCTTCCTGTGACGGGCTCAAATGTGATACTCCGTTCATTTATTCTTCTTTTTTTTTTTCATCTTTTTCATGTAATAAGTATCTAGCTTCTTTACTAGGCTCTTGAAGCATGTAAGAATGATCAAGGAGATGGGATCCCAAGGAATGTGTGGCCTAGTGATGAGGATAAAAACTTTACAGGGAGGCCTGTAATACATGTATGTGCTCCAGGAACAGCACGACTTACCCTTCATGTCCACGAGCTACCTGTGCACGGGCCATCCTTCTTCCTAGAACAGGCTCTTCCCTACTGTGGAATTATAACATGTTCAAGCCATTTGTTTGATCTCCCCCAGAAATCTGCAGGATTCAGGAGATCTTCACAGCTGTCGCACCCCAGACCCTCAACCAGTCTAGCCCTCCCCCCCCCCACAACCTGCTATACTTACGTGGGTACTACCTGCAAACAAAGGCATCATACGTGGAGTGGAATGTTTCTGTCACTGCCGGTGGCACTGTGTTTGCATTTGTCTTTAGACCAGAGTTCTTCAGTACCAGCACTACCGACTTTGGGGGCCGGATCGTTCTTTGTATCAGAATGTCCTGCGCATTGCAGGTGTTAGTAGCATCCCTGGCCTCTACCCACTGGATGCCAGCAGGAGCCCTTTCCCCCCCCACTCGTGACAACCAAAAGTGTCTCCAGACATTGCCCAATGTCCTCTGGGGGTGAAGTCATCCCTGGCTGAGCACCACTGGTTTAGACTGAAGCCTGCTCAAGGGCGGGATACTTCCCATGAAGCTGCTGGAGCGCTCCCAAGGTTGTTGGGATGTTTCCTCTCGGTTTCTGCCATGACTTTGCTGTCTTTTAAAAAAAATTTTTTTTTAATGTTTTGTGTGTACAGAGAGAGAAGACAAGGTCTGAAAAATATGTAGCCAGGGAGGGGCAGAGAGAGAGAGCACAGAGATCCCAGAAAGCAGACTACTAGGGGCTCTGGGCTTCGTGTCAACTGAGCCCAACACACGTAGGAGGAGGGGCTCAAACTCATGAACTGTGAAATCATGACCTGAGCCAAAGTCGGACGCTCAACCAACTGAGCCTCCCAGGCGCCCCTGCTATGAAACTTGACCGGACTAATGACCACAGTTCCAAAGACAGTGAGCAGAGACATTGATCCCAACTGCCATTCTGCAGAGAATAACATCCATCCATACACACACACACACACACACACACACACACACAACACACTACTACACATATTGTAATAGTTCATAGTGGACTTTAGAATCAATCCCTTTAAAAAAATTTTTTTTTAACGTTTATTTATTTTGAGAACAGAGAAACATGAGCAGGGAGGGCAGAGAAAGGGGGAAGTTTCCTAGGGAGAAAAGCTCTGAGCTTGAGCTCAGGCAGCTCTCCAGGCGAGCCATCAACCCAAAGCAGCCAGCAGGGGGGGGAGCTCAGCCTGACCTCCACTGGTGCCCGAGATGTCCGTCAGTGATCTGAAGCAGAAAGTGGAAATCAGTGAACTCTTCGGCAGCCAACTAAAACCGAAGAGAAGCCACTTTTCAAAATATCCATATAGAAATATGATCTACGTGTATATGTTTGCCCTCGGCAATAAAATAAAATCACTGTTAAGAATCTCATTGTCATTTCTGTGTTGCCTCAGTACCATCAAGAGGACCAGCTCCTCCGAGCGAGTGTCTCCTGGCGGTCGAAGGGAAAGCTGCGGAGATTCCAAAGGAAACCGAACCCGCACGGGATCTACAAGCAGTACTTCCAGCGGCAAAAAGAACAGTGAAAGGTAAGGGCATCTTCTCTGCTGGTCCCACCGTTCAGAGGTTTCGTTACTTCTTTTCCCCCAGCGATGAATCAGGAGAGCGCCCAGTGTGTACGCGCTCCCGCCCGTGGAGCGCCCTTCTCCTGAGCGCGGCGGGCGCCACTCAAGCCCCCATTTGAGGCGGCTGCTCATCACCCTTCACACCGCTCGTTGTCCAGGTGGAAAACCTTAACTGGACGTCCCAGCACCCTCGTGCAGGCCGAAGTGGCTCCTGAGAATTTGCTCGGCCCCAAGTCCGTGGAATTGGGGAAGCCATTCTCAATTTCCTTCTAGTACCTTCTGCTGTCATTCAGAAATTAATTTCAGTGGGTTGTTTAAGTGCGTCGACAGTATTTTCTAAGGTAGACCGACTGGGTGAAAAGCTGGAGTTTTAGGATTTGTTAGAAACCATCTTGAATATCGAGCTAACACCAGAAATGGGAGCCATTTCTTTGCGGTTTCCTGAAATACGCATGCTTATAATTGAGCATTTCCCTTTGAGGTTAATTTATAACGGATTACGACCAACACCTCTACGACTAACAGTAACCTTTTATTAGTGAAAGCTCCTTGTTGGCATTTTCAGAGCCTGTTTTATGTTTACGAATGTGCGTGTTTGTGAGATCGTTTCTCTGTGTAGATACCTGCCTTTTTAAACCTTGTGCTTCCATTCTGTGCCTTCATTCTCTCTGTTGAGCAAAGCTGAGGAAGGAGTCTCAGCTTCACAGGCTAAACGTGCCCCCCCCGCCCCAAATGTTTATGTAAGGAGAAGGCTTAGTCATAAAGCAGTGGACTCCAACCCACAGGCTGTAAAAATTCCAAGTTTGTAAATCTATTCGGATTCAGTCCCGTAAGGAGGCCTGAATTGTTTTTCAGTTTTATCCCTAAAAGATAGCTTCTATAGGAAAGATGCAGGCAATGCTAACATCAGCAGGTTAGGGCCACAGTTCATTAACAGTCCCGGAGACCACTGGTGTGGGGTTCTGCCTTCTAATTTAGGCTATTAGTACTTCTTATCAGAAGATTATGCTAATTAGGTGATAATACCTTTGAAATAAGGCCAAGTGGTTACTATGACAGTAGAGTATAAATGGGTCATGCCGTGTGGCCTTCAGGCTTCTTGAATGTAGGGTAAGCTTGGAAGTTGACCTGAAGTGTCTAGATCTGGGCAGTTCTTAAAACCTTGGCTCCTTCTGTGCACATCTGATTTTTGTTAAGAATTTCCGAAAAAGAATCCGCATTGTGCAAACACCAGATCTGTTTTATCTCTTAAATCCTATGGCTTTGATAAATGTTCTGGGTAAATATTTCTATAAAAGATATTTGCAAAGGGGTTGTGTGTGTGTGTGTGTGTGTGTTTTGTTTTGTTTTGTTTTTAATGCCACAGCAGGAGACTTCGACTTAGAAATGAGGGTCCAGGAAAATCCACCAATCATTTTCTAAAAATAATTCAAGCAACTAAACATGTCCATTTAAAAATAAGCCCCGTGCCTCACTAAGACCCAGGAGTAGTTGAGGCGCACGTAGCCCCGAGCTGGTTGAGTTGCTCCCACACACCTGAGGAGTTTCAGAAAGAAAGTTCTTGCCTTCTCTTAGGGAATTGCTCATCCTGGCAGATACCTTCAGGGGCCCATAGAAATATTAGCGCAATAACTCAGACAGAAAGAAACAGCTAAGAAGCAATAGCAGTGAAGGTCAAGTTGGTGACTCAGTCTCTGCCTGACCCTCTCCTTCCTTCTTCTCCTCCCTTCCCGCCTGAGCAGCCCCACCCTTGAGCTGCCTCAACCCGGCATCAAAGCAGAGGTCGCGTCTCGTTGACCGATGCCTGGACTCTGGGACTTAAAGCGTGCAGAGAAAGGTATAGAAAGGTGGCCCTCACATAACCCCCTTCGAAACACCGTGGTACTCAGTGGTCGAAGATAGTAAGATCTCTGGCTCGTTGCTCTGATATTGGTCTGTGGTTCCCGGATGCTGGCTTACATTTCCAGAGCTCGTCTTCTTTGGCTACCGGGGGCAGCAAGACAAGGTGGAAAGGGCACGGGGTCTCTGGAGTAAGAGAAAGGTCTGGGTTCGTCGACCAGTTCTGCCGCGTGACGCCTTCGTCGACCGCTTTTGCCGCGGTGCCTTAGGGATTAGTACATCCCTAATTGCCTCCCATCTTATCAATGAACTGACTGGTGGGAAAGCACTCAGCACGAGGCTTGGCACTCAGTCACGGGCCTCGTGTCGTGGCAGCTGTTACAAAGTGAGACCTGCGCCAGGCAGAGGAAAACCATTTATGAGGCTTTCCAAAATGCTGAGCTTTTATTCCCTGGCTCGTAAGATAAGGGCTCGTAAGAGAAAGCGATTCATCTTTTCTCTGGTCTGACACGCGTTGCATGGTGTTCATGCGAGTGATGCAGTCCTGCGAGCACAACCCGGGTTCTGGCAAGATCTAGAAGTGCTGGGGGGGGGGGGGGTAGCGCTAAGTATCACACGGCTTCGCAGTTGTCCACGTGGCATCAGGATGAGCCAGGCGGGCTCGCCAGGATGCTAGCGAGGGAGAGGCAGAGCAGGGGGGGCGGCTTCGGTTGGGTCCTGTTTGTGGAAGGAGGACGTCCCGCACGCACGACGGTGCCGTGACTTGTGTGAAACAGACTGGCTCCAGATCTCCCATTACCGCACGCCATATGCAGCACTGTCTTCAGAGCATGTGGCACTTGCGCGAAAATTAGAAAAAGCCTCCTCTGACTCAAGGAAAACAGTTCCACCTCGGCATACAGATTTCTCAGTAACAAGTACAGCAACCGTAAGCTCCTCCATGCATATCGCACGAACCTTAATGTTGAACGTAAAACGATAGTGGTTTTGAGATCTTCGGCATTCACCTCTTCTAAAATAGACTAATGTACTTAAAAATATCTATGAAAATAGAAACTGTGTTCTTTTGTGAGTTGCAGTCCTCTTGTGCCGGCTTCTCATCTTCTTTGGAAATGGTCGCTGGATTTGACAGTCATTCTTGTGACATTGGGGACTTTTGTCTTCGAATATTTAACATTTTATTATTTTTTTAATTTTTTTACATGTTTATTCATTTCTGAGAGACAGAGTGTGAGCGGGGGAGGGGCAGAGAGAGAGGGAGACGCAGAATCGGAAGCAGGCTCCGGGCTCCGAGCTGTCGGCACAGAGCCTGACACGGGGCTCGAACCCACAAACTGTGAGATCATGACCTGAGCTGAAGTCAGACACTCAACCGACTAAGCCACCCAGACACCCCAGAATGTTTGATGTTTTAGAATACTTTGCTTGTATCAAAACACAAAATTTTTTTAATGTTTATTTATTTTTGAGAGACAGAGAGAGCACAAGCAGGGGAGGGGCAGAGAGAAAGGGAGACACAGGATCCGAAGCAGGCTCCGGGCTCCGAGCTGTCAGCACAAAGCCTTATGTGGGGCTCAGACTCACGTACCACGAGATCATAACCTGAACCAAGTTGGACGTTAAACTGACCGAGCCACCCAGGTGCCCCTGAAACCACAAATTTTTAACAGCACTTAATCTGTGTGCTGGCAAACTTCTATAAGAACAAAAGCAACATATGGCAATGTGATTTTTATTTCATGTATTGTTAATGATAAATATTAACAATTATATAGTGATTTTGTGTCATAGTGAAGTACTTATTAAATTTAAATAGGAAATCAACAGTAACATTCTCATGAATGATCTGTGCTATCTAATGTAACCAGTGTACTAAGGCAATAGGGAATTTTTTTTTTTATTAAAAAAAAGCATTTTGTATCAGAGAAACAGCTACTACTTAGAATGCAATTTATGTTGGATGTTGCCAGACTGATTAAGTGTTTCAGTTAGAAAACTGCCCCCCCCCTTTGTAATTCTGACTGGACTGACATATATCAGCTTTGTAAATAAGACACTTCGTTTCCAGCAAAAAGTTGTTGTAATGGAGTTATTTTGTTAGAACAGGAAATGTGTCAGCCATCTGCTGGAAACCTCATCAGAACACACATTTAAACCCTGCATTTTAGGGGCGCCTGGGTGGCGCAGTCGGTTAAGCGTCCGACTTCAGCCAGGTCACGATCTCGCGGTCCGTGAGTTCGAGCCCCGCGTCAGGCTCTGGGCTGATGGCTCAGAGCCTGGAGCCTGTTTCCGATTCTGTGTCTCCCTCTCTCTCTGCCCCTCCCCCGTTCATGCTCTGTCTCTCTCTGTCCCAAAAATAAATAAACGTTGAAAAAAAAAATTTTTTTTAATAAAAATAAGAAAAAATAAACCCTGCATTTTAGAGTCAACAAATGTGGGGGGGTGGGAGGGGAATGCTTCAAAATAACAAAGATGTGAAAGTATCCCCTTAGATGCTCTTTTGTATTGAACAACCTCAACATCTGTGCCAGCCATTTTATAGGGTCCAGAACGCTGAGCTGGAGACTCTGAGCTCTGTCCATCCCAAAGCTGTAACATTCCACGAAATAGTCTTTTCAGTGACACCTTGAGGTCCTCAAGGCTCAGATTTGTTCTTTTATTTCACCATCACTGATAGTGCAATCTGGAGCTTAATCCTCAGCCTGGGTTTCTGGCCCCCCATGTCCTGGCTCCCCAGCCTCTCTTGTGCCCTGATAGTCATGGCTAATACCAGCTCTCGCTTGTCCCCAGCAAGATTTTTTTTTCTTTGAGATAATTTACTTATTACACAAGTAGCACGTGTCTTAGGAAATCCAGATGTCCAAAAACGAAGTGAAAATCTCACTACTTAGAGACCTCAGCACTAACGTATTATTCCATTTCCATATAGACTTTACTTCCAGGGTACTGTGTGTCTGGTGTATCATTTAAATACATTTGTCGCCTTCTTTTTCATTGGCTTCGTAGCCATGTTTTTGTGGCAGTAAATATACTCTGACAGTGTAACTTCAGAGGTGGAGCAGTATTTAGCTAGGCAAATATACTTTAGTTGGACATCAGGTGCCAACAAGGTTTTTCTGATCTAG